AATTGGTAGATGGATGGGTGGCTGTGGGTGTGACAAGCTTTATTAGAGGCGGTCTGCCCTTGCCTCTCCCAGCCCTGGCCTTGACAAGCATTGCCTGCTTCATGCTGCAAAAATCAATGGCAAGATGCTGATTGCTTGTACTGCTGTTGAGGGTTGGGGAGGAAATTAAGGCTGAAATTCCTGCTGGAGGAGAGAGGAAATAGGGACAGCCAGTCACATCTGTTGTAGTCGTTTGCTCTTATACTGCTCCAGCTGCCAGCTCCAGGGGTGGGAGACTAAGATCAAGGCTGGTCATTCCCAATGCTCCTTATCCTAAGTATTGAGCCCATGTTCCTTGGTGAGATGCCACCAAAGGGGCAGTAACTGATTTTTTGCCAGCCTAGGACTCTAGCCAGTCCGCCACTTCCACATAATATTGACAGGGATGAAAAGAAAGCCAACAAACTGGACCATGTGGGTCCTCAAAGGAAGGACTAGAAAATACAAACTATCCTTTAAAATGACATAAAAAATAAGGGAAGCTATTATGTTATGAAGAAACACAGGAAATACTGGAAAAACTATATAGAAATTCTAGGTGTGAAAAATACAAAGGTCAAAATAAAAACCACACCAATGGGCAAGAGATAATCAAAATAAGTTAGTAAGCTGAGGACTACACTGAAGAATTGTCCCAGAATAAAAGATGTAAGAATAAAGAAGTTGAAAATAGAGAAGAAAGGTCAAGAGAGACGATTTGAGACATATCCAAATATGGATGAATTTCAAAAAAAAGAGAGAACTATTTAAAGAAATAAGAGATCAATCACCAGAACTGAAAGATAGAGATGACTTATAATATTCTATAGAGAGAAGAAAAAAAACCACTCTCTACACAATATAGCAAAAATTGAAAATGTCAAAAGACAATGAGATGATTCTAAAAGATTCCAGCATGAAAGACTGACATCTGATTTCCTAACTGCAACACTGGACATGACAAAAAAATTGGGCTGATATTATTTAAGATATTAAAGAACTATCCAGTGAGAGCCTGTCTCCAAAAAATTATAGAGATACTTTCAAAGTTAGGATTTCATATACAACTGAACTTTATTCAAAGTAATGGTATAATCTGATTTGATCATTACACATTGTATATGCACACTGAATTATCACACTGAGCCCCATAATTATGGACAATTATTATGTGTCAGTTAAAAAATCATGGAGAGTAGTATAATGAAATATTCTTGCACATACAAGGCTTCAGAAGGTTTGCTATATAAATACCCCCATTTAAAACATTTCTGGAAGAAGTATTATGATCAGAGAGAAAAATCTCAGGAGTCGTGGCTCACACCTGTAATCCTGGCTACTGTGGAGGCTGAAGTTCAGAAGATTGTGGCTCTAGGCCAGCCAGGGAAAATAGTTTGTGAGACCACATCTCCAAAATAACCAAAGCAAAATGGACTAGAGGCATGGCTTAAGTGGTAGAGTGCCTGCTTTGTAAGCATGAGGCCCTGAGTTCAAACCCTAGTCCCCCCACCCCAAAAATCAGGAGTAAAGTTAACCAAACACTTTGGTGAAGGAGAAAGCATATGACATACTAAAGTTCTTATCTGGTTAGAGGGAAGATAGTTAAGGTACAGATAACACTTTAAAAAAGATAAAGTCTTCAAAGGGAAGAAAACAGAAATGTCAAAATAAAGCATTAGAAACAAATCGAAATATATCAGCAATCACAATAAATGTAAGGGGAGTGGGGTAAAGACAATGCTATGTGCTCCCCAAGCCATCATACTTTCCTAAACACACGACTAAACTACATTTTCCTTGTGTATTTGGTGGAGGGCACTGTTTATTTCTTGCAGATGGAACCATGAACAGAGACAGCATGTCATTTCTGGTCCAAAGCCATAGGCACAAATGTGCCTTTCCCCAAGCTTTCTTTCCTAGCTGCAGAACTGGAAGCAAAGTTCTTTTTAGTCCTGGAGATCAAGGTGGGGCTAACCTGGTGCATGAGGAATGCTACTGAGTATAAAATCTACCTTGAACTACACATGGGTGAAAAATAAACCCATGTTTTTTTAAACCACTGAGGGTTCAAGAATTTTTGCAGAATCAAATTTGCTTACATTGAGAACAAATGGATTGAATTACCAATTGGAAGATAAGAGATTATCAAATAGAATCAAAAGCAAAATCTGTCCTTATGAGATTTACAGGGGCTACATTTAAAGCATAAGTGCACAGAAAGAATACCGGGGGACAGAAACAAAAAGAACTAAGATTAGGCTTCTCATAAAGTGTGCCACCCAAACCCATTATTGGCTGAAATTGCTTAATTTGAAGTCAACAGTCATGTTCTTCTCACTCCAGTGCAAGAACCCCTTAAGCCTAGAGGAAGGTCATTAGAGTGGTTTTTAACCAGAAGGTCGACTACAGGCTGCCCAAGAAACACCCAGGGAGCATGCTAAAAACACAGGTCCCTGGCCCTACCTTTGGAGAGGGTAATGTCACTTATTAGGACAGGATGGAATTCAAGAATTTGCATTTTTGAAAAGCAGATAAATTGAATTAAGGAATAGATTCTTTGAAAAGAAAACATTTAATTGACACATAATACTTGTACACATTTATGGGGTACAGTGTGATACTTTGATATGTCGTATATAATATATAATGATCAAATCAAGGTAATTAGTATATCCATCTCCTCAAACATTTGTCATTTCTTTGTGTTGGAAACATTCAGAATCCTCACTAGTAGCTATTTTGAAATATACAATTAATTGTTATCAGCCATGCTGTTATAGAATATTAGAAGTTTTTATTCATCCATCCATTGATGAACACTTAAGTTAATTAGAAATCTATAATTTTAAGAAACTCCCCAGGTGATTCTTATGTGTAACCAGGTTTGGAACCACAGAGCCAGGTGATTTCTCAGACCCCTTTCAAGTTGAAAATTATTTATTTCAGGATTTTTGGAAAATAGCCTCCAGATATGCGGTTAGACTTCTCTTTACCTGGATAGACAGACAACTCTATATTTTTTTAATATTGCATGAAGTCCTTCAATGCTACCCATTGGCAGAGCCCAGGCAAAAGGCCAGGGGGATGCAGACCATATGGGTCAGCCTCCAGGCAGCATGAAGGACCAGGAGGGACAAACAGAGATCACCAGCACCCTCTGCCTGCTCACGACAGTCCATGGGAGCTCCTTACAGCTCTTCTTTAGATGAAGCACCTCCAGTAATTATACATTCTTCATTACAGAATGAAATAATATTTTGGAAAACAATTTAAAGTTTTAAAGGATTTTTATTCTACTGTGTATCCATTATTTCCCTTTAAAAGTTTCTAATTTCATTTATTAACTCCAAATTTGCCTACAGAAACGTACAGGAAATGTAGGATTCCCTATATCATGGATCAGATATAGAGAGGCTTTGTCCCAGCTCAGTTATTTGGTGCTCTTTTTTCTCCCTCCATAGGCCCCTTCTTGGAGGAGGTAGTAACAGTGATCACAGCCTCCCATGCCCCAAAGCAAAAACTTCTTCTCAACTCCCCTGTAGATAAAACCTCCAGTGCATGAGGCCCACTGATTTCCTCCACCTTCTCACCCAGGCACTTTACTTCTTTACCTAGCAACAGATTCATTAATGCAGAGAACTGCTCTGATTGGCTGCATAGAATGAGGGTCGCCCCTTAACCTAGGATCTGTTTCTATCTTACCTCCACGTTGTGCCTTTACTCCCCACACAGACTAAGACTTATCTGGTTAAAGCCCTGGAGGACAATGGTCCTCTGTATGGGGCTGGTCCTGGGACTCCACACACTGATGACTCTCCTGAGCCCCCAGGAAGCAGGAGCCATCACTGGTGAGTGCTGAGGACCCTGGGGGAGGAGAGGGACATAGAGGATGAGTGCTCCTCTCCCTCTCTGGTTTATGGGCAACTTGCTCCACCTAGAGACCCCCAAATCCCTCCTACCTCTACCACACCCATTCTAAACCTAATTATAGGTTTGGCTCAGTGTAGCTGAGCCAAGGTCTTTTTATCATGCTCAGATTCTTTCCCATTCCTTCCTCCTTTCTGAGACCCAAACCTCTTACTGCTGCGCAGCACCTGATTTCTCTCCCACTTGAAATGTCCCGCTTGGACTTGCTTGGAATGGCCGCATTCTAGTCCAGCTCCATTGCAGCATTTGCTACTGTGTCTTGACATGAGCTCCAGGTATGGATGTCCATGGCTGGCTTGTTTTTATCTCTTATGTTTTGTTGGCCTGGCATTGTGCTGGACACACAGTAGTTACTCTGCATTGAAGAAATGATTGCAGAGTTCCAAATGAATTTGACCACTGGAAATCTAGTCCTTGATTTCCAGGGAACGAGGCATTCACTTATAGGATGAAACATGTTCAGTCATCATGCTAAGATGGAAGACTGGGGACATAAGCTTTAAATTCCTGACCTTTTGTCCCCCATACTTCATGGTGCCTCAGGCTACTTTTTCCTATATCACAGTCTCTGTGTCACAAATCTTAATTCATGCTTCTGTCCATCAACCATTTTCCCCTAGTCCTTCCTACACGGCATCTCTGTGCTAAAAGATCCACTTATGTGCTGTCCTTAACCATTTCCTCCTCAAATCCTCCAAACTCACCACCTCACTCATGGCCAGAGCAGATGATCATGGCCAAGATCTTACACTGGGAACTCTAGGCACCATTATTAGGCAGCCTCTCCTCTTCCCAGCCTGTACTGCCACACTCTATGCATACGTGTGCTGGTCATAGTGTGTTGGGTGGGAGCCTGTTCCCGCCATCCTTTCCATTCCATCCTGCTGTACCCCTTCTGCTCTCCAAGAGCCAGTTCAGTGTCAGAACAGGGCTCTCCCCCACCACATAACCCAGGATTTGGCCCAGGCTGAGACTCAACACATTACATATCATGGATGAGACTGATACCTTTTCTATTTTCTCCACAGCCCTGCCCTTACCCAACACAGCTGACCACATGGGCTCCTATGGACCAGCCTTCTATCAATCTTACTGTACCTCAGGCCAGTTCACCCATGAATTTGACGGGGATCAACTGTTCTCTGTTGAGCTGAAGAACAGGGAGGTTGTGTGGCGTCTGCCTGAGTTTGGTGACTTCACGCACTTCGACCTACAGGGTGGGCTGTCCAGCATTGCCATGATCAAAGTCCATCTGGATGTCTTGGTGGAACGCTCCAACCGAACCAGGGCGACCAGTGGTACTTGCGCTCCTTCTGCCCCACCCAGCCAGGCAGTGGAGGTTCAGAGATGCTCCCCCTGTCCCAATACCTGGCCTTGTTCACTCTGACACATACCCTTTCTCCAGAGGCTCTAGGTCTCCCCAGGCCCATCAGGACCCCCTTTATCCTTGAGAAAAGATCCCTTTCACCTGGATACTCCCCCCAGGGACTGGGCAGTGTTGCCATTCTGTCCCCAATCTCTTTTCCCTCTATCTCCCTCCTTTCCTGCCTCAGTGGTTACCATCCCACAGCACCCCCCACCCCAAGATAGCTAAATAGGAGGAAGTATCCCTTAATCCTTGTCCTCATAAGGCCCAGATATATGGGATGAGACTTTGGAATTCAGGACCTTGTTCCTCCTAGTGCCTCCCAGGGTGACCGTTCTCCCCAAGTCTCGAGTGGAACTGGGAGAGCCCAACATCCTCATCTGCATCGTGGATAACATCTTCCCCCCTGTGATCAATGTTAGCTGGTTGCGCAATGGTCAAACCATCACAGAGGGAGTGGCCCAGACAAGCTTCTATTCCCAGCCTGACCACTTGTTCCGCAAGTTCCACTACCTGACCTTTGTGCCCTCAGCCGAGGATGTCTATGACTGCAAGGTGGAGCACTGGGGCCTGGAAGGGCCACTCCTCAAGCACTGGGGTATGAAGCCCTTTCCCCCAGCCCACCTGCTCAGGCCCATTTCCTTTCTGGGCCCCCAACCTTTCCTTTCTCTTCCAGAGCTCCAGGGGCCTACCCCACCACCGGACACCATAGACACCATAGTCTATGTCGTGGGCTTGGCCATTGGCTTGGTGGGCTTCCTCGTGGGCACCATCCTCATCATCACAGGCACAGTCATGTCCAGGGCTCACAGGTGCAGAAGCCCCAGAAGTCTGGGGGTGGAGGGTAGAAGGTGGGCCATTTAGAACAAGATAGAGGTGGAGAATCAGAGATTCTATGGGGACAGAGCCTTGGGGAAGAGTGACACACACAAGCAGTAGATTGGGAATAGAAAAGCAAAAGTGGGTATGGGAGTGAGGTCTGGGGGAAGTGGGCACTCAGAGATAGGATATAGAATTATGAGCTTGAACAACCTTGATCATATGGTTTTTGCTACTTTAGGTAATGACACTTCTGAGAGAAACAGATGGTGGGAGATGTCCTATGGATTCCTCAAGCCTTTGCATGCTCAGCACCTGAGTCAACTAAGTACATCCCCACTATTCTGACTTTGAATAGCATCAACCTCCATCCCTGTACTTATGGTAGTGCCTGTTCGGGTACAGCCAGCTCCCCTTCTATCCCAAATCCCCAAATGTTCTTGCTCTGTCCTAAGCTCTGGCTGGCAGCACTCAATTCTTTAGTGGTGTTTGCACTGTATTTTTTTCTTTTAAAAAAAACAAACCAGGTCTGGGTCGGTACTCCTAGGTGTGAGAGATGCTGGTACCTGAAGAGGAGCTCTGGGTGATGACCACTGAGCATGACCACATTGGCAGCCATCCTTGGGCTGGACCTGCTGTGTCTTGCTCCATTTGGCACATTGTATGTTACTTTGTCCATAGGCCATTTTACAAGGATTTAATGAAATTTGTCTCCTGAATTCAGATTCCCCAGAAAGGATGTTTATTACAATTCCCTCAACTAATGACATTTCTGTAGGGGACTGGGAGAGGACAGGCTCATGGGGAATTCTACCCCTGTCTATGTGTGCTTTAAATGAGGAGGCCACTGGTATCCAGTTATGATCTAAAAAGCCATCTCCTTTTTCTCTATTTCCAAGAGTCCCATGATGCCAAAGAGACCAGGACTTAGATAAGAAGGCTGCTTCTCTCGATGGAGTCAACGTAATGGCGGGAGGTAGTAGAGTAGACCTGCACGATTTCTTGTGAGAGGAGTTCTAACACATCTGCTTGGGCACGCTCTAAAATGTGGACTGGACGATTTTTATTTAACTGTGAACAAAATTAAAAACACACAAAGAGAAAAGTAGCCATACAGGGTAGTTTGTGTCAATTACCAAGAGTGACACAGATGAGTGATTTCCAGGATGGAATATACTGATGGAATCTTTTTAAAGTACTGAATTAGGGAGGAGTGATGACAGAGACACTGCTTTTTAACATGCTCCAGATGAGTCTGAAACTGACCTACGTTGTGGTCTGTAAATAGTACCCGTGACATAGTCTGGTTCTACTGAAGGTCATTGGCAGGGGAAAATTCCAAGTTTGAACCAGGAAGGCTTTCTAGAGAACCTGGGTCTATCAGTGCATCAAAATTGATCAAGATATAATTAAATAGGGGCAAGATGGGGGTTTGAATTGTGAACATTTGGACCTGGAAATGAAACACACCAAGAGTTGATGGGGACTTGGTGGCCTTCCCAAGAGAGAACAAGTTGGAAGAAATCAATGCCCAGAGAACTCTTATGAAAGTGAGGAAGATTGTCTTAAATCCAAGGTTTTGTTTGCCAGTAACAGAAAGCCTCTAAAAAGGATCACATGTAAAGTAGAAGGTATTTAACATAAAAACACAGAAGTGGTGCATAGAACCCAAGGGTAGGTTTAGCTAGGAACATAAGTGGAAGCTGAAAAGCCAGCAGAACCCAAACAGCCTGTCTTGTACTCTCACTAGGCCACACAATCTGCCCATTAGCCACATTTTCTCTGTGGACTTACTGCTGCATCAGCTAAGATGTCCAGTGACAGCTCCTCAACTTATATCACCTCAGCTCTCACCACCCATACAGACTGTATCTCCCGTTCACAATTTCAAGTTCCTAGAAAAATTAATGAGTGGCCAAATTTGGTGCAGGTTTCCATCCTTTTCTGATGTACTCAGAGCAGGGGACAAGATCCCACAGCACGGCTATCTGAGGTAAAGGATTCATTGTGCTCAGAGAAAGAATAATTTGGTTCTCAGAAGACATCACAGATGTGTCTGCTGTCAGCATGCCCTGATCTCTGCTGGTCTTTTGCTTGAAAGTTAATTTGATGCATCATTGGAAAGTGTTTCTTTCATCTCTGTCGTAAAGCTTAATAAAGTCATTGAAAGTGTCCTCTTTTGATCAAGAGGTGTGCTTTTTTCACTTTGCAGATTACCCAGTCATTGGAACTTCTAGGAACATTTCCAAATCTTTTACATGTATCTGTCCTATACTCACGTTTTTCCCTTCTAATCTTGAAGCAACTAGTCCTTAATTTAAGAAAAAAAATGAAATGGTCTCTTGCATTCATGAGCTGACTCCCTCCAGTCTCTTTTAGAGGAAACCTTCAATAGTCACCTCCTCTTCTATATAGTTCAAACTCTTTCTCTCAGGGTTTTCTCCTGTTAGATAATAAACATGTCATCTCTCCTATATAATAACTCCTTTTTCTGTCCTATAACCTACCTCCCCCAGCTACTCCCAGTCACACTCGGAATGTTCCATGTGAGCTGCCCCAGATTCCTTTTTCCAAGCCACAATCTCTATCAATTTTAATTTTTAACAAAGTTTTGTTATGAGCATAGTTTACAAGTCAAATAGCTCTACAGGATTTGCCACAAAAATGCCAGCTTCTAGCCCCTTTCCTACTGTGCCATCCTCAGAGACAATAGTTTTATGATGTCCTCATCCTCAGAAGCAATAACTTTGTTTCTAAGCTTCTGTTGGCACTGTGGTTTGTCCCGCTATGGTTCATGTTGTTGGAAGCTTAGTCCTCAGTGTGGTGATGTTGACTTAGTGAGACCTTTAAGAGGTGGGGCTTGGTGGAAGATCCTTCGTCATTGGAGGCACTTCCCTCAGAAGGGAGTAAGGTAGGGTTTTTTTTTTTTTTAATGGGACCCTGAGTTAGTTCCCATGAATGTGAATTGTAAGAGCTGGCAATGTGATTTCTCCTTCTCTCATATACTTCTGTCATTGTAATGTCATCAGTTTTGAAGTCCTCACTAGAGCCAAGCATACCCTTGAATCTCCATAGCTATGAAGTAAACAAACCACTTTTCTTTTAAAGTAGCTTGCCTCAAGTGTCTCATTATAGTTATGAAAAATGGGCTAAAATAGTTGGTATTAATCTCCCATCTCTAAAGAACATGTTTGTGTTGCAATATTTTGATTTTTTTTACCTTTAGGTTTTACTTCCCATTGTGAAAGAGGATATGGATTTTTTTCTTCCTCAAAGAACGTAATACCTCCCTTCTTATACCCCCTTTCTTTAATACAGTTATATTGTCATTTTTACCTAGAACAATGTGAACTATATTATTATGACCATATAAGACAAATCATAGAATAAACTATGTCAGCTCTTCTTTTCTTAGATGACTTTTTGGTTTCCATGGAGTTAATAATTGTCCTGTTCTCCGTTTGCTTGGTTTTAGTCACACCTATGATTAATGAATCATAAATTTCCTTACAATACACATTAGGTATCCTATCAATTTTATGGCCATATAAAACTGTTTTCTATCTGCTTTAGAATTAACTAGTTGTCCTCGTGACACAGCCATCATCCGAGGATCACCCTTCTCCATCCTTGTCAGGACTTATCTGTCCTCTGTGTCGGATCTTCTGTTTCTTGAACCCAGTACTTACCCTTCTGTGGTCTGATGTCTTACTTTAGTGACGCACACATTCTTTATTAGCTTCCTGAGAGAATGCATATGAAATAAGTATTTTATGCTGTGCATTTCAGAACATGTTTTTATTCTATCTAGCAGTTGAACAACAGCATGTACAGGTATAAAGCTCAAGGTTGGAAATAATTTCCATCAGAACTTCCAAGTCATTTCTCCAATCTCTGAGTTTCCAGCATTATTGTTGACAAGTTGAAGTATATTCAGAGTCCTGAAACTGAGAATGAATCTCTCTCTCTCTCTGTCTCTCCCCTCTGTTTTATATGGGCTCCATTACCTTCAGGTTGAAAATCTTTCTTAAACTGTCCCCAGTGTCCTATTTTAACCTTATTTCTAATGGCACCCCTCAAAACAGTCAATTCTTAAGTCACATCAAACTTTCCATCCATGTTTACCCCTCCCATCTAAAACATTTGGCCCATTCTCTTGCTGTGGAACATACCACATTCTGCAATGCATCAGAGCTGTCTATGTGACTGCCTTTAATACTCATTACTCCTCCAACATGGGAGGTCTGTGACTTATATTTCCAAAACCTGACATATTCTATTTAATTCAGTTTTATTTGCTTCAAATCCAGCCTTCTCCCACTGCCTATAGCTGTTTTTAATAACATTGGCTACAGTTTACTGCACACATACAATATACCAGGCCCTGTGGCAAATGCTTTTCATGTGTAGCAGGTTTGTATCTTGGATCACAAAAATCAAGAGTATTGTGTACCAAGTGCAAGAAATAGTTTAACTATTTTTTTTTTTTTGGTGGTATTGGGGTTTGAACTCAGGGCTTTGTGCTTGGTAGGAAGGTACTGTAACATTTGTTACACCTCCAGTCCTTTTTGCTTTAGTTATTTTGGAGTTTTGCTTTAGCTATTTTGGAGATAGAATCTTGCTTTTTGTCCAGGCTGGCCTGGATCATGTTCCTCTTATTTTAAGCTTCCTACCATCACCGGGATGATTGGTGTGCCACCAAACCTAGCCTTTTCCCCCCATTGAAGTAGTGCTTGCAAACTCTCCCCCCCCCCCGACTCCTAGGCTGGCCTCAAACCACTGTCTTCCTGATCTTAGCCTCCCAAGTAGCTAGGATTACAGGTACAAGCCACCAGTGTCTGGCTCTTTAAATAATCTTAAAACTGACTCAAAACCTATTTCCCACCCTTGCAATGAGACTGATTTCAGTTCGAGCTCAGTCGTTATTGAGGCTTGTCTTTCTTAAGGTTGTTCAAAGGGTCTCTGCCCTGACACAATGCTAAGGACTTGGAGAAGTCCTTTTCTTTTTGCCTCTGTCTGGTCTGGTTACTCAAGCATGTGGATGATTACGCTAAGCAAGAAGCATGCTGGGTCTTAACCTGTATGGTTCTTTCTAAATGGCAGTATGACTGCTTCGGTCCCAGGCTTGGGGAAGGGCAGTCTTCAGTGAGGGGCAATTCCCAGTGCCTACAAAGAAGCACCACAGAGCCTCCTTCCTAGGATGCCTCCCTATCTTTTTTTTCTTTGGGTGTTGTGAAGGAGCAGGACTGTCTTAGGACCTGTAGACCACAATGCCCCCTTCAGTATGGGAGGACCTCCCCCTCTCTCTGCTTTGCTTTATTGCATTCCAAGGCATACCACTCCTCTTCCAGGTATAATATTTGGACATAATGTCAAGCATGCACCAGGCTTTGGGAAATTCAGAGCAGAAGAGGAAGGGTCTCATAGGTGACATTTGCTATTGTCTTGTGTCACAACCCTAAATACAAGGGAAGATAAAAGAAAAAGCATTATTCTGGCACAGTTGCAATATTTCCTTTTTTCCTTACAACCAGTCTGCAAGTTTAATATAATTATCCTCATTTTATGGAGGTAGAAACTGGGATTCAAATTACTCAACATGCCCAAGGTCAGACAACTGGGATGATCTGTCTGATGCTAAAGCCCACACTGCTCACAGCAAATGGAGACTATTTTGTAAACAAGG